GATCACAGAGCCGGCGGGACACTACCCCGATCGCCTCGCCCAGGCGATGGTGCAAGGGCTGGAAAACCAGTTCAACTTTGAAACGTGGTTGGCCCATCGGAACCTGGAACAGGAACAGAATGAGGTGATGGTGGTCGATCCTGGCGATCCGGACTTTGAGGCGGAGCCGTCTTCGGGCGAGGAGGTGGATGATCTTCCCCAGGCTAGCGAGAAGCTGACCATTCCTGCTGCAATTCGGAACGCAGTGTACCGACTTCACGAGAACACTGGGCATCGCAGTGGACGTCGCCTTGCACGAGCCCTTGTTGTTTGTGGAGCCCCTCGTGAAGCTGTGGCGGCAGCGCGTCAGCTCAAATGCTCAGTATGTGCTGAACGCCGGCCTCCGAAGGCTGCTTGGCCTGCCGGACTACCCTCGGTTCGAGATGCCGGTGAACGAGCTCACATCGACCTCTTGATCGTGGAGGATGTCTTCCGAGTGCCCTACGTGGTTTGCCACATCACCGACTCTGTCACTCGGTGCCAGATGGCGGACATCCTGGAGAACAAATCTACCGAGGCGGTAGTGAACTTCCTACAGCAACGCTGGTTGCCGGTGATGGGACCGCCGCGGACAAACGTGGCCGATCAAGGCCGAGAATTTTTTTCTTGGGAATTTGAGGAGTTCTGCAATTCTCGTTCAATCCACTTGTTTCACATCGGCGTCGGTGCCCCCTGGCAGAATGGCATTGCTGAGCGCAGTGGTGGCACCATTAAGGCCATTCTCGGGGCAATTGTCAAGTCCCACGCGGTTTCAGGTTTGGACGGCATGCGCCTGGCCTTGGGAGAAGCGGTGGAGGCCTACAACACCGATGTGAATGAGGAGGGCGTCACGCCGCTTCAGGCGGTAACCGGCCGGCAGCCCCCATCACACGGCGATGTCCTCAACAACTTTGCGGGTCGTTTGGCCGAGCATTCCCTCATTCAGAACAAGCCCAGTCTCGCTCGCCAAGTTGCTCTTCGTGAAACAGCTCGGCTTGCCATGGTGAGACTTCATTTTTCCCGTGGTCTTCGACGAGCTGAGTTGGCACGAGCGAGATCGTCTACCTACGAGAAGGTCCCCAAGCCAGGTGACGTTTGCTACTTCTGGCGAGAGCAGAAGTACAACAACCCCCGGAAGTCTGGTCTTCGTGGACGTCTTGTACTTCGGCGATGGCATGGCCCTGCACTCATGGTCGCTGTCGAACGGCAGTCGGAAGGTGGAATGGGTGCCAACGCCTTCTTGTCCTTCAAGGGCCAGCTCACCAAGTGCCCCCTGGAGCATATCCGGCCGGCATCATCCTTGGAGCAGATTGCGGCGGACTCTTGGGAGAGGCCATCCGGGAGGTGATCGACTCTGCTGCTGACGCCGCCCCTGAAGAAGTTCAAGGAGAACATGGCGATTGTGCTGGTGCTGCTGATGGTCCGGGACTACCTGGCCAAGAGGCGGCTGTTCATGGAGCTCTACCGGTTCCTTCAGCTGTACCTCACCCCGTCGCCGGCGGTGAATCAGGTGCTCCTGCTTTGTCACCTGCTGAAGTGGTCGCTGCGCTGCAGTCTGCCTTCGGCACCTCCATCGGCGCGGACGTCACTGCTGACTCAGGACTCGGTGGAGGGTGGAACGGCCATGCCTGGCACTCCAGTACCGGATCTAGTCCTTCGAGCCGGTCGATCTTCTCGAGACAGGCTTGCGACTGAAACGACCTGGTGAAGACTTGGAATCTTCTCGCCCAGCGTCCAGCATGCGAGAGGAGGAATCTGTGGCTTCAGCTTCACTGCCGGATGACCCCAACCTGTCGCAGCCCGCGTTCGAGGCCTTGACGATGTCGTCAACTGAGATTGACCGCATTGCGACAGAGACTGATGGTGTGCATCCTCTACTTCGACTACAAGCGCTTGCTGAAAATGATCGACGGCATCCTGGGAGCTGGGATGGCAGATGGTCTCACATTTGCCAGGCTGAATGGAACCTCATGCGGGAGCTCGGTGAGAAGTTTCCCCATGGTGACTGTCACAATGTGGCGGCGGCCCAGACTGCGAGAAAGGAGTATCCCTGGAAGCCCATGCCGGAGCCCACGAAACATGCGTTTCGAGAGGCCGCCGTGAAGAACTGGAAGGCCTATGTGGATAACAACGCCAGCAAGGTCCTCTCGCTTCAGGAGTCTCGTGCGGTGAAGCGCGAGTTGGCCAGGCGCGGTGAACTGGACCGGATTCTTCAACCCCGGTTTGTCCTGACCGACAAGCATGACGGATTGCGGACGGAGGGCAATCCACTCCCTTTGCTCGCCAGTGCCCGCATGGTTGTTCCTGGTTTTCGTGACCGTGCAAACTTGGAAGGGCGATTGAGGCGTGACGCTCCGACGGGTTCGAGAATCTCGCAGCACTTGCTCTTCATCATGGCGAGCGCTCACCCCGGCTGGGCCCTCATCTCGGCAGATGTGAAGTCAGCCTTCCTGAAGGGCGACCCCTATGTGCAGCGGGAGCTCTACATGACAGGCACCAACCCCAATGTTGGTCCGACCGTCCCGATTCCGGACGGGTGTCTGGCAAGAGTGCTCAAGGGCGTTTTCGGCCTTGCTGACGCTCCAAAAAAATGGTGGCTGCGCTTGGACCGATGCTTACTTGAGAATGGCTGGTCCCGCTTCGAGCTCGATGGAGCCACCTGGGTGAGACGCGTGAACGGCAAGCTCACGGGCATGATTGTGGCTCATGTGGACGATCTGTTGTTCACCGGTGACTCGGAGGCGGAACGCAGCTTGAACAACATTGGCAAGGAGCTTGGCTTTGGCAGCCTTGAAAGAACATGTTTTGTCTGGTGCGGAAAGAAGATCCGTCGTGCAGAGGATGGGACAATCCGCCTCAGCATGGTTGAATACCACCAGAACCTCAAGCCGATGTACTTGTCTCGTCATCGACGCTCAGATCCCATGGCCCTACTTAGAAGTTCGGCAACTTCGAGCATTGCTGGGCTCGCTGCAATGGCTGGTGGCACAGCTGCGATTCGACATGTCCTAGGTGGTGTCGTCGTTGCAGGGCGAATCGCCCACGGTCGGTACCGCCATCAGGGCGAATTCCGCCGCGCAAGCCTTCAAGGAGGATGTGAACTTTGAGATGGTTTTAGGCCGCTGGATTGGGAAAAGGCTGGGATCATGGTGGTGACAGATGCAGCTCTTGGCAATGTCACTCGATTTGGCACTGATGGCGCGGCGCCTCTGGAGAAGGTCTTCTCGCAGGCCTGCTACTTCGTGTTGGTTGCAGACGCCGACCTGATGAACGGCAAGACTGGCCGGTTTAACATCTTGGATGCCCGGAGCCATAGGGTTCCCCGTGTATGTCGCTCCAGCTATGCAGCTGAAACTCTCAGCGCCGAAGAGGCCTTCGATGTTGGGCAGTTGTGCAGGGGTTTCTTCGCTTCGCTCAAGGGCAAGTCCGTGGTCGGCAAGGAGTTCGAGAGGAACATCGACACGGTGGGCCTGACGGTGGTGGTGGGCGCGAAAGACGTCTACGACAAGTCCAATTCGGACACCGCGAGCTATGGCTCGCAGAAGTCCTTGGCCTTCACGGTGGCTTGGATGCGTGCCTTCCTGAGGCGTCATAACACAGCCCTCAAGTGGACCTCCACGGAGAACATGTGGGTCGATGGTGGCACCAAGGCCATGGATTTGACTCACATGAGGAAGATTATCAAGACCGGTTCCTGGTCGGTTTCCTACTCCCCGGACTTTGTCAAGAAAGTTCCTAAGGTATCTGCGTGCGCAGTGCTTCCTGGAGATGCAGTTGGCGGAGATGATCCGATACTTGCCCACCTCATGGCCTTGGGGGAACAACGCGGCTGGCATGCGCGAGCCGGTGTCGGCATCAACGTGGCTACATCAGCCAAGTCCTTTCGGACGGCTGAGCCCCGGTTTTCTGCAGAGTCTTTGCCCCTCCACACCACGTTTGGTCGTTTCCAGCACGAGACCGGACAGTACGAGTGGAGGCGCTTTGGAGGATGCCTTGCGGTACGGCAGCCTAGCCAACCCGCACGGCATGATTGGACGGACCGTGTCTCTCCTGGTTACCTTCTTCCATCAAGGTACACTTCCTGGACTGAGCGGCTGTGAGTGACCCATTTTCCGCCAACAAAAATAGTTGGGTCAATGAGAAATGATGCAATTGGCATGGGTCCTCTTAGTCGTACAGTGCGGCAGGATGCCGCTGACATTTGGGCTCAACGCCCAGGCCTTACGCCAAGCTGGCTTTTGTGGAAATAGAAGGCAGCCATCCCGTGCGGTTCCTCGCTTTGGTCCCTCACGGCCCTGCTTTCATAATCTTGATCTTGGCAATCTGGACATCTCTCTGTATTTGCCAGCAAGTTCCTGCCAGTGTTTTTTGGTTTGCCAGGGCATCAAGCCGAGCATGCTGTAGGTACACTGTAGGTGAGCAAGGTTCCCCCAGCCCCGTTTGCAGCAACAACAACTCGACTACCCTTGGTAGTGGCCTTCAGCAAGGCTGTATGTTGCGAGTGCGGTCCCTGTCATAGCGAGGGATCCCGCAACTTGAAAGCAGCGAATCCAGCGCAACAACACTCCATGCACATATTCTGAATCTGGGATCATTGGAATGTGGGCCACCACTCCCATACCAAACCAACAATTGTCTCCATCAAGATCTGGCAGTGCGAAAACTCCAGTAGCTTGCACTTCTTCACCGGCAAGGCCTTTTGGGTCCACTGCACAGGAACAAGCCCCCTGAACCAGAAATGCTGCTGTACCGCATCCAAGTGAAAAGGCGAGCTTCCTTTACAACACCGTAATGTGCATAAGGTTCAGTGTGAGTCTTTGGCACCCCCACTTCCTCTTCATTTACACCACAAGTAGCATTGGAGAGCCCAAAGGCGTCGAGTGGCAGGGTTGAGATTCCCCCTTTTGGCCTCTTTCTCGTGCTCGCGACTTTCCTTTGGTTGGACGTCACGTAACCCCGGGGCTCAGCCGCCATTTTTTGAGGCCAGGAGAGAGGGGCCAGCGAACCGAGAGCCGGGGCCTCAGAGTGGGCTGTGTTTGAGTTTGTTGTTGCCTTTGCGTCCCACGAAAAAAAACGGGCCGCCGAGCAGAAGATAGATGGAGCTTTGTGAGATCTTCGTGAGCCATTCCAACGTGTTTTTTTTTCTCCCTATCGCTCCTCGCTCCCCCACGCACGCCTGCAAGGATTGGGCTTCCACGCCGTGCGCCTCGACGTGAGTCAGGGACTGGGAGGAAAAAAGGTTGCAGCCAGACTGGGGACCTTCTGGCCGGAACACTGCGCCGTGGCCGAAACTCCGGTTCACACTTCCAGTTTTACATATTTTCTGATTTCAGACTTGGGAGATCATTCCGCGCGCTTGTTAAAAGTCGCCCAAGTGTGTACTAGGCCTGTTGTGTAACCCATACATGGATTGGAACAGTGGCACAGATCTGCCGAAGGAAAAACCTGCGAGGTTCTGCAAGTTGCGGAGGGGCATGGGGGACTCACAACATGACTCAGACCAGCGACTCAGCTCGGTTCTTGGGATGCTATTTTTGATTCCTACCGCGCCCCAGATCTATTTGGGTGCGGCTCAAAATTAAACAGGAGGGGTTACGCAGGTGTTGGTCCATGTTTCCACTTGGCAGGGTTCCATTTCGGTGGTTTTTTGAGCCTCAGATCTATACCCAGAAAGCTTTCAGCCTCAGGCGCCTCGCGGGCTCGATCGCATTCCAATCGGCTGGGCGACGTCTTGGGCTGGCTGGACCGCAGGGCGCGGCTTCTGCAAGCAGCGGGCGGGCTGGAGCTGACGCTTGGACCCCGAGCCAAGGAAGCTGATTCTGTTGACTTGGGGGTCATGGGGAGTTGACCTACGCACATGAACGCAGGGGCCATGCCCCTCACCCAGGTTTGTGCCAAAAAAGAAACCCGGAAAAAGACAAGCCGTTTCAAGACAAACTTCGAGAAGCCTCGGCGAGGATCGGGGATGACACGCGCGCCTGGGAAGCCTTCGTGGAGCTCCTGGAGCTGGCGGACTTTGCGGAGGACCGCTTGCCTGGGGGTTTTGAACACGAGCTCACCCAACCGGGGGGGGGACCGGTGATTTTGCCCAGAAAGAGGGCACTTCACTTCCGAACCTCTAAAGCTGATCTTGGGAATATCCTTCAAGCCCTTGAAAAACCAACACTGCGCATTTGTCAAAGCTTCCAACGAGGGTCCATCGAGGGACATGGGTGGATTCACGGAACGAACCAATCAAGGGAACTGCTCATGTTGAGACTGGCCTGGGCCCAAAAGCACAAAGGCTTTGGCAAGGTGCCCAAATGCGGTTCTACTGCCTGTGTTAAACTGGACAATAGCAAAGCCAGTATAAATCTCATCCGAATAGAACAACAAGTCAATGGGTTTTGGGCGCTGCTCAATTGCTAGCCTTTTAACTATGGTCTAACAGCGCTCGTCTCTGGCGGGTTGGAGCACACATGGGTTTTGGGTAAGTGACCCAAACTAACGAAGCCTTCCCAAACTTAACCAAACCCTCAGTACGCAATATTTGAGTGCTCTTCTTTGCTGACAACTGAAGCAGGGGTGTGCGGCTCCCTTATAGCCATGGTTATTGCCCTTCCAATGGTACCATTTTGGGGTAAGTGCACCACCCATTTAGTCTATTTTAGTGAGGCTTGGGATGTTCACTGGGGTTTCGACCCACACCCATATCAGGCCAAGACTAAATTCATCCCCGTCCTTTGCGCCCAATCTCTTCCCGGTTCTCAGATCCCAGGAAGGGAGCCACTTCTATTAGCCATCCAACTGGTGGTTTTCTGCGGGATCTCGCTGGAGATTGATTTCCACCCCTGCTCTCCCAGGCGCTGCCTTCCGCGCCCTCCGAAGCGCGGGCCCGGCGCCTCGGGGAGGCGGCGGCGGGGCTCTTCGACGCCTTCGCGGCGGCGCCGGCGCCGGGAGGCGCCGCGGGCGTGTGTCGCTGCTTGGCTCGGGGCCCTTGGGGTTGATTCGAAGGGAAGCCAAATTTCAATTCTTGGCGTTCCCCGAAGTTTTGGAAGGGACACCAAGAATCAAGAGTTTCGGGGTTGTGAGTTGGCTTGAAGGGAAGCCGAACTTCCACTTTTGGGTGTACCTGCGAAGTTTTTCTGGGTTTGAAGGGACATGAAGGGGAGAATCGAGAGTTGAAATTGGTCGCCGTTTTGACACGGGCCGATTTGGGCATGAACCTCCCGGAATGTGTGCGTGTGCGTGTGTGTGAGATATAAGAGGCGAACACATGACGCATGGCTCCCTTATGATCATCACTGGCGTTGGTTTTAAGGGTGCCCCATGACCTCATTCTAAGTAGCTAGGCACGTACAGCCGCCCTGGTCGCTTTTAGGAGGTGGTGAGACAGCAGTTTGGACACGGCCAGACGCCTGGGCCTCCGTTGCCCGGAACGTCTTGGCGCTGGACTATGCCTTTGCGCTCTTCTGCTCAAAGGACGCCAGGCGCCTCGACCGGTTTTTGGTCTGGGCAGATCCCCCGACTTACTGAGGCTCAATAAAAGCCAAAGTTGGGGGAAGCCAGAAAGGGGGGGCACTGGCGATGGGGCTCGCGTTTTGTTCTTTTCGGCTTGGCTGTGAAGGAATGCCAAAGAGGGACCCTTATGAAAAGAGACCTAGAAACAATCAACCTGTCAATATGATTTCTAGACTGGACAGCCAATTTTCGACAACTACGGTCAGAAGATCTTGCTTGGGTTACTGGATAT